ATCGTCTGCCACGTATTGGCCCAATGCATCAAATGATCTAAATCTCCCTGTAAGTCTGCAGCATCTTTGATACAGTTAGCTATCCCAAAATCTTAATGTCAACTGCAAACTTCAATATTTGTTTTTACATATTTTATTTGTACAGAATAAAAATACAAACTGTTTTCTTTTTTACAGTATGGCTTCATCACTAATTATTCTGCAGTGCAAGTCGAGGAATGGACAAAGCAGGCTGAACCATCTGACCCGAGAGCACACCGTAGCTGACCTAATCGAATCTATTGCTCAAGTTACTGGTTGCAACCCACTTTGCATAAAAATACTTGCAGGTTTTCCTCCAAAGCCCCTAGATATTTCAGATAGATGTAGAAATCTTGAAAATCTGCCTATAAAGTCAGGAGACACTTTGATTATTCAAGAAGAAACTTCCCAAAGAAAGGAGAATCTACCAAAAGATGAAGAAAAACAATTGGGAAGAAAACCCCAAGGAAAGGTGAATCTGCCTAACTTACAAAACCCCAGTGGAATTTTAATTCGAAGAGTAGTACCAGCTAATAATTCATGTTTGTTTACAAGTGTATACTTTGCCATCTCGGGAGGTGTCTATGATACCAAAGTTGGAGATATGCTGAGGAAGGTCATTGCAGATACTGTCTCTGCCGACAAAGAGACTTACTGTGAGGCATTCCTTGGAAAATCAAACAAAGATTATTGCAAATGGATTTTAAATAACAACAGCTGGGGTGGTGCTATTGAACTATCAATATTAAGCAAGTATTATAAAGTGGAAATTGTTGCTGTTGATACCCAAAATGTGCGTTTAAATCGTTTTGGAGAAGATGCTAAGTACGAAAATAGAATTTTTCTCATATATGATGGCATTCATTATGACCCTCTTATGTTGGAACCCCTGGATCACTCGCACAGTGTACAAACAATTTTCCCCAAAACAGATGAATGCGTCCTGCAGATGGCTATGGAAATTGCCCAGGAAGCAAAATCAAGTCGACAGTTCACTGACATTCAGAATTTTTCACTTCGTTGCCTGGTGTGTAGTCAGTGTCTCAAAGGACAGCAAGAGGCACAACAACATGCTAAAGACACGGGTCACTGCAACTTTGGAGAAATATAAACATAAAATATGACATTTGAGAAACATCAAGAACAGATATCTATAAACATAAAATATGACATTTGAGGAACATCAAGAACAGATATCTATAAACATAAAATATGACATTTGAGGAACATCAAGAACAGATATCTATAAACATAAAATATGACATTTGAGGAACATCAAGAACAGATATCTATAAACATAAAATATGACATTTGAGGAACATCAAGAACAGATATCTATAAACATAAAATATGACATTTGAGGTACATCAGGAACATATATCTATAAACAAAATATGACATTTGAGGTACATCAGGAACATATATCTATAAACATAAAATATGACATTTGAGGAACATCAAGAACAGATATCTATAAACATAAAATATGACATTTGAGGTACATCAGGAACATATATCTAT